CTGCTGCTTCAGAGTATGAGACGAACCAAGGAATGCAGTCGACACAAGGCGAAGGCCCTAATATTGGAGGAGTCTCTGATGTACGACAGACAGACACAGGTATTGCAGCAGTAGGGTGGCTGAGGACTCTTGAATCTGGGAGTGGCGAGCCGGTGCTTGGACGTACCGCCGCAAAGCTGAAATCCGCAAAGCTGAAATCCCCTGATGCCTTTGCTTCAGGGATGGCTTCCGAAGTAAAGTCCAGTGAGTTAATAGAAGAGAGTGAAGGCGCTGGAGAAGATCAGAGCGAACATGAAGAATGCCAGTGGCCGGTGGACGCAAGTCATTTGCCACCAAGTGCGGCGCCGTCCACTGTATGCATCTTAGCTTCGGCGAATCTACCGGTTCGCACCGTCCCAAAAATACCGCGTAGCTCAAATGACCCGCGGTTGCATCCCTATGTGCGGATGCCAGTGGTGGAAGCAGGCGTCGTCCCTCACGACTTCGACCCATCAGGAGTATTCGCTCCATCTTCGAAGAGCTTTCCGTTTACCAAGAGTTTACATGAGATGCGGCAGCTGTTTGCAAAGCCAACGCTTAATCAGCAAGACGTAGATATCCTGATGGACATGGCAAGGGGGCTGGCGAACAACTTATGGTTGAAGGCGGCGTCAACCCTTAGACAGGTGCGGCCAGTGTTTGCAAGTGCAAGTTTAGGGAACACTTTCTTGGCGATGGACTACGTGGTGTCTGCAGTTGAACTTTTGGGAGGCCACATGAAACTGGATATGTGGTGGGAGAACTTTGCACAAGCTTTTGACACAAATTACAATTTGCCGCCATCGACCGAATTTCATAGAAGTTCTGCAAGGTTCAATGCATATTTGGCCAACCAACTCCTTAACGCCTTGAGAATCTACAAAACAAGAAGACGCCCTCCTTTGACCCTTGTGATTGAGCTGAAGCGAAACCTGTTTTTTGCTGCTCATTCCCCTCCACTGTTCAAGAGTTCTCAGTGGGACCCTTGGAGGCAGGATCATAATTTTTTTGAGGAATTTGGATATGAACCGCAGTGATGTTTTAACATGGACAGGCGATATGATAATAGCCCTTTCGCCTTGTTCGTATGGGTCTAATGTTGTAGCTGCAGGGACATCTGCACTATAGCGTTGCCTTCTTTGAATTGCTTCTCCGACCCAGTGACGCGCGAGCGGCAACCTTTGTACGCAAGCGCATTCTCCAGTGCCACTGGCGAAGCCTGTCTGGGCATCGCTGTGGCGCAGTAGCCTTTTTCGTATAAATGTCATATAAATGTCATAACTAATTCTATGTCGTAGTGCTTTTTGTTGGGCTATTTTTTCCCTTATGCGGAGCCCACCAAAACTCCATTAGAGTAACCATTGCAGATTCTCCTGCATAGCGGAAC